CATCCACCAGTCCATCCCCCGCCCCCACCTCGGGCCAATCTCCCGCCGTTTACGACGTCTTAACTCGAACGTTGCCGACTTATCCCTTCACGCCCTGATAAGACGTGTTACAATATGAAGTGAGGCGAAATGCTCGCGAGGTCTTTACGGCCTTCGACGGCGTTCTCGCGGCGCGCTTCTTAACGGGGTCTCGCTTTACTTGTACTGCAGCGGTAACGGTCGCGGCTTTGGTCTCCCGCTCGCTCTCCCTCTCGCTCGATGCTCGGCTGTTACGCGCGCGGGCGCACGGAGGCCGTGAGCGGCTCCGCGTCGCTTTGCTTCCGAGATCCGTAAAAGTCTCCTCCGCGATGTAGTCTTGCTCACGACGTTTTTTCGCCCTTCCCCTCCGCCGGTGTACACAAACGCCTATGCACTATTCTCTTGAATGGAGGTTACGATCTAGGACATATTTTCAATATCTCTTGCTGTTTACATCATTCAGAGTTTACGAAGAACGTCATTTTCACATTGCTCTTTCTTCTCCGCGCTGTCATGCTACTGACAACTTTTTTTAGGCCTTCTCCTCCGCTGGTGTTTACAAACTCGTATCCACTATTTTGTTTATTGAAGATTTTCACATTATATAAAATGTTGTGTCTTCTCCGCGATGTCATCTTGATGATGATTTTTTTGGGGGGGGGTTCCTCTCCGCTGGCATTCACAAATGCGTATCCACTACTTTGTTTAATGGAGGTTACGATCTGTGAAATATTTTCAATACCTCTTGCTGTTTACGTCATTTGGAACTACGTCATTTTCACATTAAGATCTACATCAGGGGTTCCCTGACGTGGGCGCGCACTAGCGGCGTGCAAAGGCACTTCAGGTGAGTCGTGAGCAAGTGCCGGCGAACACTACACTGAAAAGGGTAATCTATAGTTCAGGGAAAATAAAAACCTGATGGTAATTAACGAATGCAACTTGGACTCTGCGCTTTTGAGCTGAAACATGCATTTATAACAGAAAACCTACTAGCTCTGTATTTTAATTCAAATGCAATACTCATTATAGTTTACCAATGCAAGCTCCACTTGAATAATGTTTTGTATAGCCCGTGAATAGCCGACGGCGGTCGTTTGGAGTTTTGAGGTTTCTATTCGTGTGTCATATTTGAAAAGAAAATCCTCGAGTTCAGTGTAGGATTCAGAGGAATGTCAGTGTAGTTCTATGTCCTAATATCGTTAAGTAGCACTCCCTGAGGTTGCCAGTGTTCTATTTCATTGATATTTTAATTATAGGGCAAAAGCTCTTGAATATTCACTGTTGCGTAAAATGTCG